CACTTAAACACGGAAAAAGTCAGATTTTCATCCGATGAGCCCTTTTTTTCCTGTTCATCAGATCATTTCAGGTTAACAGTGAAGTTTATTCGGATCGAGTTAAATCAGATCAATTGAGGGGTTTACATAAAGGCTTTTAAGTCCGATTGAGCCATCAATCCAGTTATAAACACATTATTTGAGTCCATGTAAGCACTGCTATACATACATACTCAACTATGGCTATGTTCAACTATAGCAAGCCAAAAGCCTCACAGGAGCAGAGAAGACTTCTGGGAGATGACATAAACCCATCAGATGATTGACTGAAACCTACATTTTTAGCGGATTCTAAGAAATGAATCGCCTTACCAAATGACTTAACCAACATTACAACGTCAGTCATATAACGGCTCTCGAAATATAAGAAAGGACTGTGAAATTAATGTGACCGTGACATGCTCTTTGGGAAAATGGTCAAATAAAAATGAATCTAAAATACAGAAATATTAATTTCAAGATATTAGTTTATACCACCAGCAAAATCACGACAAATTTAGCATGAACATTCAACATATCTCACAGTTCTCTTTGACCATTACATTGTATGCATGTATAAATGACGATGTACCTCAAAGCGATGCCGGTGTCTTTCCTCGACATAATCTACATCTCCATAAAGTTTTCCTGCGAGAGAGAAATCAAATTTCATATATTTACATAATTCCAGTTCTCTGTTGCGTATGGTTGTCTACTGTATTATTGGTATAGTATTTCAGTGAAATGCACTTACTAAGTATGCTGTTTTGGGTTTTGAAAATGGTTCTCCTTTTCCCCAGCCGCATAGTTCCTCCCATCTGCCCTGGATTGTGCTCTGGCATGTCAATCACCTGTGAGACGACCGATCAAACATCTGCTCCAAAACACACCAGAAATCCACATGTAAACCAAATCGGATACTCACCACAGGATGTTTTGTTTCTGGGTCAAATTCGGTGGAGTTAGCATCTAGGAAAACCGAGAGTCACACTTTGTTCAACACTGCTTGTCAAACAATCAGTACGGCATTTACTAATTTATTGCAAAGGAAGATTTTACCTTTCCAATCCAACATGTTTCTAGCAAATTCACACACAGCGAGCTGCATCCCCAAACACACACCTGAAAGTCAAATGGCACAGATGTGTTCAATTCACAGACGGAGCAGGATATTTCAGTTTTAATGAATTTTAAGCAGAACAGTCCTACCCAGGAAGGGCTTCTTCTGTTTCCTGGCCCAGCTGATGGCTTGAATCTTGCCCTCCGTCCCTCGTACTCCAAAACCTCCAGGTACTAAAATACCACTGGCGACACGAGAGACCGCAGCAGTAATATTAGCAAAACTACATCAGGAGTGACTGCGTCTGAATTCTCCTCAATAAAAGAACACCATTAAGGCGTTTGCATGGCCTTACTGATTTAAAATGCATGAAATCAGCCATGTCTATTGTAGGCGTAATTAAACAGAGCGCAGGTCACTACTCACTTGGCGCTGCAGAGTTTCTGCCAGGCCTCATGGTACCTCACTGGCTCTTCCTGCAGTGCACTGGCCTCCAAATCTGCAGAGTCAACATACTAGAGAAAGAAAGAAAAATGGTTGATATAAACGTATAATGAACATTTAAAGGGATACTCCACCCCAAAATGAAAATGTTGTCATTAGTCACTTACCCCCGTGTCGTTCCAAACCCATAAAAGCTTTGTTCGTCTTCAGAACACAATTTAAGATATTTTGGATGAAAAACCCGGGAGGCTTGTGACTGTCCCATTGACTGCCAAGTAAATTATAATTATATATATATATTCTCCAAAATGGCGCTACGGTGATGCGGAGAGACACAGAGGAGACGAATTGTTGAATAAAGTCGTTATTTTTGTTTTCTTCGCATACAAAAAGTATTCTCGTCGCTTCAGAACGTTACGGTTGAACCACTGATGGCAGATGGACTATTCTGACGATGTCTTTCATACTTTTCTGGACCTTGACAGTGTAAGTTACTTGGCAGTCAATGGGACAGTCACAAGCCTCCCGGTTTTCATCCAAAATATCTTAAATTGTGTTCCGAAGACGAACAAAACTTTTAGGGGTTTGGAACGACATGGGGTTAAGTGATTAATGACAAAAGTTTCATTTTGGGCTGGAGTAACCCTTTAAAGATAAACTATTCTTTAAAAGGTAGAATTAGTAGGGCTGGGAAAATAAATCGGTGCATCGCAAATTGAGAAATGATTCCGGATCGATTCTGAGATTTTCCGAATGCGTCGCGATTCTTTCTTGAGTCGATTCTGAGCTTAGTTTTGAACAGCAGATGGCGCTGCATGCTTTATGGCGCTTTTCCACAGCATGGTACGGCACGGTACGGTTCACTTTTGGGGGGTTTTCCACTGGGTACAGTACCTGGTACCTGGTACTTATTTTAGTACCACCTCGGTTGGGGTTCCAAGCGTAGCGTACCGTTACCAAAACGTGACGTGTTAACTCTGCTGATCACGGATTGGCCGGAGAGAATTGTCACTACCTGCGTCACTGAACAGAATTAGTAGGGCTGGGAAAATAAATCGGTGCATCGCGAATTGAGAAATTATTCCGGATCGATTCTGAGATTTTCCGAATGCGTCGCGATTCTTT